CTGCATGCCTAACTATCAAACTATGGCACAGGAAGTGGCGTCATCCTCCTGGCTGTGCAGTCTGACAGAGGTGTATGACTCACAAAAACAGCTAGACAGGATTACAAATTCTTTGGCAGATAAAAACAGCTCCACAGATGTGTATTCCAAATGTGTACTTTGCGGTTTGCCTGCGTTCAGCTTAAAGTCAGCATATGAACTAGTCACTGATCTGTGACCAGAGTGTGAACCCGGTACAAACAGCACCAGGAAAAAATGTAATCTCAATGAGGAACATAAGACCAGGGAACACAACGCAGGGTGAGGCCGGAACTACACTGCCAAATAAATCCCGCAATAAAAGAGCCGGAGGAAAGAAGAGATAAATCTAGACAATAAAGGGTCACAATAAACTTCTCTTATTTGCTCCCCATTTGTTATGTATAAGCGGAAGGGGAGGTTTTCTGTAGTCTGGACACATTATCTGCCCTAGGGTGACAACGCTGGTCCCCCATGAATACAGAGCGAGTGTTTTCAATCTAGGACAGGAAGTGTGTAACTGGAAGAGTCACCAGCTGTAATGAAAAGGGTAAAAGGCTGAAAACCCCCCCCAAAAAACAAATGCAGCCACCACAAGGACAGGTAAACTGCAATAAATTTTTGTTCTTGGTTTAGCAAACATTGTAAAAGGGAATCATGTGAGAATCATGGAGGCTGCTACTGCTGAACTTTCCGTCTGAGAATGCTAGTTCCCTGGCTGTCGTGATGCTGGATTGGCTTCTAGGTCCACGATATAAAACGATTAAGGTCAATGCACAGCCAGCCAGTAACGGACGGAGGATCAGATAAGTAAATCTGCTTTATTTGTCATTTTCCACAACTCTCAAAACGCTCAGTGTCTGCAACCTCCCTCTACCAATCCCTGCACTGGCTTCCAATAGCCCAAAGGTTACAATTCTAAATATTAACAAATCACTTACAAAGCCATCCACAACTCTGCCCCCGGCTATATCTCCAACCTTGTCTCAAAGTATCACCATAACCGTCCCTTCTGCTCTTACAAAGGCCTCCTGCTTTCCGGCTCCCTCGTCAACTCCTCCAGGACTTCTCTAGAGTCTCTCCCATCCTCTGCAACACCTTACCCCAACCTGTCCGTCTATCTCCTACTCTGACTGCCTTTAGTCGATCCCTTAAGACTCATCTCTTCGGGGAAGCCTATCCCACCTCAACCTAACCACTCATTACGTTCTCAAACAATTCATCCTCACACAGCTACCTCCTCATGTATCACTTGCCCCTCCCTTTTAGATTGTAAGCCCTTAGGGGCAGGGCCCTCCTTACCATCTTGTCTTGAATTGTATTTTAACTGTAATGTCTTCCTTATATTGTAAAGCGCTGCGCAAACTGTTGGCCCTATATAAATCCTGTATAATAATAATAATAATTATTATTAATAACAATAATAAACATACTCATGCCGGAATTGATGTTTCCATTGAAAGTTTCAAACTGAGCTGCACAAAACTTGCCAAAAGCTTTTGAAATGCTTTGCAAAATCTTGCTGTGCTCCTTGCTCTTACACAAGTACCTGCAGAGTATGACACGGGTTGAGTCAAGCCGTCTAAGGCCTCAGTCATGCATGAAAGAAACGGGACTGCTGAGTATGGGACAAGTGCAAGACAGTCCACTAATAACAGGACGGCTGATCAGTGAACCGCCCTCTGGACAATGACCCGGGAAGGCTGCATTCTAATTAGCCGCTGATGTAGGAAGCATAAAACACTGCAAAGAACAAATACAGCTGAAGACAGAGAATCAGAAATGGTTCTCTCCACAGATCATCAACCACAAAAGCTGCACCGAACATGACCGGTAAGGAATGATTAGGAATCATGAGGGCCATGGTGACTTAAAGAGACTCTATCAGGATTTTAAAAAACAAAAAGAAAGTTGCAACCTGCCTGCACTATATTCACCTATATATAGCCTTGAAAAGCTAAGCTTCCTGGAGAATCCAATTGGCTGTTCAGCACCTGGTCCCCGGCACTGACGTCACTCCTCTTCTGTATGCCGAGAGGACCCTGCTGCTGAACAGCCAATTGGAAGTGTTCGGATCATGCAGGCAGTGATGTGGACAGCCGAAAGATGTAAACAGAAGTGGAAAGATGGATCAGAGTGAAGCGTCACATGACCATGGTTTTAGGCAAGTAAAAAGGGCAGGTGGGTTTTTTTAGCGATTATTTGGGTGGTGGGGGGTAATAGGGGAGTTTAACATCATCATGGAGATCAGCCTTTAGGCCTGCTCCCTTCAATAGGAGAGCTCATATACTCACCTCTCTGTCAACACGCATCTTCTACCTTCCTCCCTGCATTCCAGCACTACATCCTCCATCGTACAGCACTTCTGGGGTTGTTAGAAAGCCTGTGTCCCCCATCGTGTGCCACCAATCCATCCCTGAACTCTTCCATCAACACTGAGTCCAGTACTGAGGTAGGCATCGGGAGATGAAACCACAGAGTGCGACAGGAAACATGCCCCATCAGACCTCAGAGCAGCCCCAGTGCATGCCCCATCAGACCGCAGAGCAGCCCCAGTGCATGCCCCATCAGACCTCAGAGCAGCCCCAGTGCATGCCCCATCAGACCTCAGAGCAGCCCCAGTGCATGCCCCATCAGACCGCAAAGCAGCCCCAGTGCATGCCCCATCAGACCGCAGAGCAGCCCAAGTGCATGCCCCATCAGACCGCAGAGCAGCCCAAGTGCATGCCCCATCAGACCTCAGAAGGAAAGCAGGAGACGCAGGCTGCCAGAGAAGTGAGTATAAGAGCTCCTCTACTGCAGGGTATGTTTTGTTTTTTTCTTTTTGAAGTTTTAAATAGAATGGGGAAAGATTAGATCTCCCGTCAGGTTCTACTGCCATCAGATGCTGCATTGGAGAGATTCCTTCACTTCCTGTCTGGTAAAAAGGTTGTCACCAGGACAGGAAATGAGGGAAGCTCTCTCTAACAGCAAATTGAGATGTTAAAATGTTTTGTTTTTTTCCTTTCAGCTAGGTTTCTTGTTGAAGAATTTTCCCTCACAAAAAAAGAAAACAAAAGTCCCCAGAACAGGAAGTGAGGGGAAAATCTCTCTTACGGACAAGAAATACCTTTGCTTGTAGCACTGCTTACGGAAAAATCCCCTGTAGTGGAGGGGCGCTCGCAGTGACTGCGGATGGCGCCGCAAGTATCAGCAATTGTGTAGAAATGTCACCAGCACACCAAAATCCTTCTTAGGATAAACAAATGTTCATTTATTGAAGTTCCTTGTCATATAAACCAGCGCTTTTCGGGACCACACAGGGTCCCCTCATCAGGCTTAGCATTGACGTTGCATTATATGACAAGGAACTTCAATAAATGAACATTTGTTTATCCTAAGAAGGATTTTGGTGTGCTGGTGACATCTCTACACAATCTCTCCAACGGAAGCCCCGGACAGCAGTCAATCCTGACAGGGGTTCTAACCTTTCCACATCTACTTCAGTCTCCTGGCCCGGGAGGCGGCCCCGTAAAAGTCAGTTGATTTATTCTTCCAGCTCTGGCTGGAGTACCCAAATCACAGCTGGTCGCTTGCTCGGTAGCTCGTCTATTCAGAAAACGTCTTGCATTCTTTTTTTCTATGGCCAAACCTTGTTTTGCCGTTAGTTCTCTTTTGGGTCACAGGAGGACATTTACTATTGCCCTCCTGTGACCCAAAACTCAGCAAATAGCAGGATATTGCGCTGGAGGAACAGAGAGGGGAGGGGGGAAATTCCTACGGGGAGCGGTGACTGCCAATCACTGCCCTCTGTAGGGAGAAGATCATGAACTCAGTGATCGGCGGTATGTGATCGCTCAGTCCTCAATCTATAGAGGTGACATGTGCCAGATGCAGTGTCACACGTCGGCTCGAACAGTGAGGATGAGCGCATATCTCTCTCCCCGTAGTTCTCCTTTAATGAATGCAGGGTGCTCTGTGATTGGAGGGAAGACTGTGACGTTCATCCACCCCTCCTCCAATCACTGAAATGAACAAGGGATGTTTTCTGTATAGAGAAGCTGCAGAGCGAGCTGTGATCGGTGTACTCCAGTTTCAGCACCGGTTGTGGCGTGCCGATTGTCCTGTACGGGGAGAATAAAAGTAAGATTAGGTAACGCAGCAGCGGGCGCACAATGCACACACCTCAGAAGTGTTCATTCATTTTTCCCAAAAATTGGTTCAGCTGTAACAAGGTTTGTACCTAAAAAGTCCCATCTGGACTCTTTTGTGGTGCGATTCCTTCCTTAGTCACACGAGCGGCTTTGCGATTCCACAACTACGGGAATCCCATATAATCAATAATAGTGCTACAGAATCAACTCCTACGTCATCCATATCTGCCATTTCTTGTGTGAGAGATCTCTTAGAATAGAACATAGATGGCTGCAAATCTATGGCTCTTAAGGTGCCCAAAAACGTATTGATTTGTGATTGATCTGGGTACGAGCGATCACATGATGCAACACATACAGTATCGTCCGAATATACGATCAGATACGATCGATTGAAAACAATCCTTGAATTGATCTCTACAGTATTATGATCTGATCAATGCACTGATATTAATTCTGTCAGAAACGATCGATAAAGTTTTGCTGCGGCTGATCGACTTGCCAGCGATGAAGCTGCTTATTGCACAGGAGGTTCTGTGATTTGCTATTCTTCTTCAATTTGATTATTTCAGTTGCATCGAATGATCAATAAGTGTGGGGCCACCTTTAGGAACCATAGTAAGACTCACTCATGACAGGTTCTCTTTGCCAAGAGGTTCCACAGGCCATGGCAAGGTAGAAAACCGCCCTCTATCCCCCAGTCTACTGTGATGGGTTGCTCTGGGCAACAGTTCCATCGGTTACCAAGGTAACGCGCTGACAGGTGTGTCAGTCACTCACTAGTGCAGGGGAGACCCCCTGCTGGCGCAGGGCATGTGACCGGTGACGTCACCCCGCCCCACTTCTCACCTCAGCCCGCGGCGGGTCCCGGCTGGCTGCTGTAAAGTGTATGAGCCCGAGCCGCTCTCTCGCCTCAACTCCTCCCGTCTATCCCAGTCACTGTCAGATATCCGGCTTCTGGGCGGAAAGGAAAGCCAGGTCGCCATAACAACCAAAACCCGCCTCTACCCTGCCCCGTCAATATTCTCCACAGCCGAGGGGGTGGAGTCACCTCAAGTCACGGGGTATGGCGCAAGACTTGATTGGGAAATTGCGCTCCCAGCCTGTTTCACTTCATTTCTTTATAGTAATTCAAGGCGGCTTATCTAAAGCTGATAGTGAGATCTTATAGTAATATCAAGTCAACAAATATCACACTTTTAAATATTTGTTTTTTATCTGAGGTGTATGTGTGTGAGCGGAACCGATTAGTTCATGATTGTTTCAGACGAGGGTGCATTCCTGTAAGGACCATTTCCGGTGTGACTATAAAGCCGAATGTTTACTTCCTGTGGTGGGGCTGTTGGCAGGTATGTATGTATGTAGGTAGGGAGTGTTTGGGGACAAGAGGGAGGTAAGCTGTCAGTGCACAGGGATTGGTGTCCTTATGGTGGTGTTAGATGCCAGGCATCCTGTGGACATACCTGGGAACTGTCAGCTTTTTAGAGCACAGTTCCACTTTTGCAGTCAAATTTGAGAAAATCCCTACTATATGTTTGTTATGTGTTTCCAGTCACATCTAGAAATATATGTTTTGCCTTTCTAGTTGTTTCCTTGGAGCAGTTTATGCATAAGACTCTATAGGAGTCACCGCTCCAAGCTCACTACCGTGATGGACTACAATCTCAATACAAATTAGTAAACTAAACGTGAGATTGTAGTCCATCGCAGGAGTGATCTTGGGGCAGTGACTAGTTTACAACACACACAGGGACCATGGGGAACAAAAGTAGTCACCCTCCGGAAGGAAGGACAGTGTCCGCACCAATTCAGAGATGATTGGTAGATCTACAGCCGAGTGAATTACAAATAAGATACGTTTTTGGTAATAGGCTACTTAATATATAGTTTTAAGATGTAACTCCTGAGTTTAGTGTCACTTTAAATATTTTTTAGGTGATGCTATGTGAATGGGAACATGTAACAAATATAAAGAAGGTCTGTCCCAATTTGATACCAAAAGTGGAAATAAACTTTAAACCAGAGGTGTGCAACTCCAGCTGAGCTTTAAGTACTAATCCCATCATGCCTCTGGGAGTCATACCTGTAACTATCAGTTTTGTAATGCCTCATGGTACTTGTTACACAACAGCTGGAGGGTTGAAGTTGCCTACCCCTGCTTTAGGGCTTGTTCACACGATGTCTGGATTCTGTCCGGACCAGAACAGTTTGCTCCTGCACTAAAAATGCATCCCGATGTATCCCTATGTGTTTTATGGGTTCCAGTTCTCACCAGCGCAGTCCGTTCCGGACAAAAAAAATACTGCATGTCACGTTTTCTCCGGTCCGCAATGCACACGAACGCGTCAAAAATGCAACGTTCCGGATGCGTGTCAGTTCCCTTTTTTTTTTTTTTTGTGGAGTGGGGCTGTCAGCTGTTAACTGCAGTGTGGCGTGTTTTCGTTGCATTTTTGACACGTTTGTGTGCGTTCCCGACCAGAGAAAATGTGTGAGTGGATAATTAAAGAGTAATAGAAGGGGTTCCAATTGTATCCTGTAGAAAATGCTGCTGCTACTCTCAGGGTCTGCTCTCTTAATCACAATCTGAAGGGGAAGGTCAGCCAGGTTGAGCTCTGATCTTTCCCTGCAGCAGAGATCACATGGAGAAAAGCCGCTCCAGCTTCCCTCCAGTGCTGCTCACATGACAGAGAGGGAACCGGGAGCAGCTTTTCTCCAGGAAGGGTTAGTAGTATTTCAGCTCTTTTATAATTTTTTTTATTCCTACATTCCAGCCAGACCGATAGCATACGTTTACATTAACATTTGAGCATGGATCTGATTTAAAGGATCAGTCAGTCCAGAGGTGACATTTTGGTAATAGCGGAAGCTGGTGGGATGAATCATCTGCTCTCTTTCTCAGGGACTCCAACGGTGATCTCCCTGCTAGAGTTTCAGGTTCCCTTCCACCTATTCTTTTGCTTCCTCATTTTTTAAAGTTCCCGTTCCTCCTGCTGTAATCACCATAACATCAATAAGCATAAAGAAGACTTGCTCTCTATTACTGTTCTAGTGACAACCCAACGTTTTGGATTATGTTTCTCTTTCATGCCCAGTAACATAGGTTAGCAGGGTAAAGAGAGGAGCTCATTTATTATAATTTTTTTGTTTCGTGGTAGATTGTGGAGGACACGCAGCTCTTGGGTTCTGGGAATATTTGGGGGGGGGGGGTTGTTTTGTTGTTGAATTCCTTGTTTAGTTGGTACTGTTACCCTGTTGGCACCTTTACTAAGTGCCAGCCCTATCCAGTGTAGTAATTACTTGTGTTGTACTGTATATAAGGATTTGTTTTTTATTATTAAAAATTAATTTAAAAACATTTTTTTAAAAGAGAGAGGAGCGGAATCTCCCCAGCAGGGGCACAAACATCAATAAAAACCTGACAAAGGTTCTAACCCTGCCATACTTTATCCAAAACAAAACATTTCGACTTTATATACTCTTCCAATGTCAGTTTTGATTGAAGAGTACCTTCAATGATTAGGCCTATTAAAGTAAGATTTATAGAAAACCACAAAGGGACCAACCACCAAGGATAGTTTGTATTAAAATGAGTCGCCATAATAATATATCTGTCAGAGATGTGCGCAACTGCAAGTAAAGTATGTCCACCTATTCTGATCCTGCCTGAATATGTCCTCCTTTTTGGACTCAAGTTGTGGATATGTTATATTCCCTAGTGTCCCTATCAGTGCAGTGCATTCCTGATGCCTTATGTCTTATGATGAAGAAACTTGGCGTCATTATACAGGGATATTTATACAGGAAACCCTATTCTTGGCACGAACAGCGATTGCTCTTAAGGTGCCCATACATTGGCTCAATTGTGGCCGGTTTTTAATGTACCGGCCGAAATTCGCATAGTGTGTTGGGCTGTCGTCTCCCTTTCAGTCGGCATTCCTTGATTAGCTGATCGAAGGAGCTGGCTGGAAAATTTTCCATCAATCAGAGCCGGCAGCCAATGAGCTGCCTGCTCTGATCGGGTATTCTGACAGGTGCTGGTGTTCTATCAAAGATTGTGACTGGGTTGGAATGTGTGACCGGTTACGTGGCCACACATTTTAACGTACTCGCGCCCACTTTTTCGGCGGTGGAATATGTGACCGTCAAAAGGAGAAGAATGCCAACGCTTTGTCAGCTGTTCCAAGGCAGATCGGCATCGCACATGGTATGTTCAGGAGAACTGATCTGCCCTGGAACAGCTGATCGGTCCTGAAATGTCACTTCTATTCGACTTTGTAGAATGTGAGATCGCAGTCACAAATTTGGATGGAAATGACATTTCAGGACCGATCACCTGTTCCAGGGCAGATCGGTTCTCCTGCACATACCATATGCGATGCCGATCTGCCCTGGAACAGCTGAGAAAGCATTGCAATTCTTCACCTTATGCCGGTCACATATTCCACTGCCGAAAAACTGAGCGGGATTACGTTAAAATGTGTGACCATGAGACCGGTCACACATTCCACCGCCAAAAAACTGTGCGGGATTACGTTAAAATGTGTGACCGCGTCACTGGTCACACATTCTAACGCAGTCACAAACTTTGATAGAACACCGGTGGCTCCTGTCGGAATACAATGCAAACAGCGGCGGTTCCTCAAACGACACGCTGTTTGCTTTGATGGAGGAATCGCGGGTTTAACATAAAAAAAATTGATAGGTGTATGGCCAGCCTTAAATGGATGCCGCCTTCATCTTCCACATTAGCACACTGGGTCTCTTTGGTGAACCAAATGATTCCTTTTGAAAAGGTTGTCTATGGGAATAGGAACGGGCCAGCAAAACTCCAGAAGATTTGGGATGTACGGTGTCAATCTCTCACCATCGCTCATGCTAACACACAGAGATGCTTTTGTTTGCTTACTGCTCTCTAGTTCTCAATATATCTTATTCTGCGACTGTATCAATCACTCATTTACTGTATCAAGGAGTCAAACAAGACAATTCCTTATTGTTAAGTTTATACTGTTTATTAATACACTCTTGTTCTGTGAATGTATTCTTTTGTACATTCCTTGCATTTGTCGGAAGTTCAATAAACCGAGTGTGATAAAAGGGATAACTTGTATTAGGGTCATGGTTGTGATTTTTGTTCTTTCTTTTTCTGTCCATGCAGGTTGTATGAATTCATCGGTCTCCGTCCAGCCTGTGCAGTGCACAGGGGATGCTGTCCGGCAGGCTTTATGCAGCTTACCCCGTGGCCTGGCCCTGGGCCCCTCTTTGTCACAGGGGGAGGGCCTGGGCTTGTGGTGTGTTGGTGATCATTTGCCCGCTGGTTCATACCTTCCTCCCCACAGGCCTGAAACTGAAGATAGCTTATCGGATATTCAGGTAAGTTTTGTGCATGTGTTATATATGTCAGTTTATCTGTTTTCTGTGTTTATTCTATAAATCATTATTATTATGTTATGTCCTTATAGGAAAACCTAACTGCATCGCTACAAGAAACTGTACTTAAGTGGGTGAGGTATGTATGCTTAAAAGACCTGTAAACACATAAAGGGACTGATTTATAATTCTTCCACGAAGCATATAGCTGGTCGAATGGTGTTCACACTGCACTACCACCACTAGATGGCACTGAAGAGCATAGGAATATCTCTGCTCTATCTAGTGGGAAGTGAGTGAACACATACCGTCGCTCGCTCACTTTCCTATTATCTCCCTGTAGAGAGCGGTGACTGTCAGTCACTGCTCCCCGCAGGAATCCCCCGCTCCCCTCTCCGATTCTCTAGCGCTGACTGGAATAATGGACGTGGGAGTGGGCGGGCACAGCTGGCTCTGCCTCTAGATAGGCAGAGCCAGCTGTCAATCAGCCAGCTGGGTGGATCTTGACAGTATTGTTGGGATCCGTCTCGTCTGCGGTGCTCTACAGCTCGCTATATACTGAGCTTCAGGTCACGGAAGGAGGTTAGCATATGTCCTCATGTGACCCTTAGGATAACTATGGGATAAAAATGTTACCCCATAGTTCTCTTTTAAGGGCTGCTGCCTGCAGTAGAAGTCCTCTTATACTCACCTTTCCAGTGGCCCATGTTTCTTGCTTTACTTCTGTTTGAGTACCGCAGCCTCTGTCATACTCCTTGGCATCTAACACTTATAAGAGTATCCCCTGCTACACACTGTGGTTCTATCCACCAACCCCTATGTCAGTGCTGGACTAAGCCTTGACGAAAGAGACGGGGGATGGAACCATGGTATAAGACGGGGACACAGGCATTACAACATTTTCAGAAGTGTTGTATGGGAGAGGCTGTAGTGCTGGATTGGAGGATTAGTAGGAGATGTGGGTCACCAGAGAGGTGAGTATAAAAGCTCTTCTATTGCAGGGAGCAGGCCTTAAAGCCGATCTTTAGTTTTTCCAAAGTTTTTGGTATAAATACACTTATTATGTAGTTACAGCAACAGTTGTTTTATCTTTTGGGGGGAAAAAAATTGTTAATCCATATGAATAAAAGCTGGACAGTGCATTTCTGCTGGACAGCTTGGCCTGTGTGATGAAGGATTTACTGGCAGCATCAACAGCTAATAAAACCATGTTACAGGGGGCTCAGTAGCTGTGTTACTGCTATTGACGGATAGTTTCATATACAGTATGTCATGTTTAATTTTTCCCATAGTTCCAGGTAACATAGTGTCACTACCCTAGCTCATAAAAGTAGCATTCACACTGTGAATCCAGACAACTGCATACCACAGCTGCCTTTGTGACTGCGTTATTTTCGGTAAGCTTGAGTAGGAACTAAGAACGTATATTTTGTTAAGATAGTCTTCCTTCTTGATGATATGTTGTCAGTTGTGAATGATGCTGATGGACACGTTTTCTGCAAGAGGGCACCAGAGAGCATGGTATCTGGGTTTATGTGACTCCATGTCTCTATGCTGTTTTGCAGGTTTGTGAGAAGCAGCCCGAAACAGGAGAATGTGAGATTATGCAGACTCAGCGGGAGTCTGCATCTTCAGGTCATCTCACCAATCCAGCCAGGTTCAGAACTGCTATTTTCACAGGAAGACAATGGAAGTTGCACTAAAGAAACTGAACATATCAATGAACTGAAAAAGGAAACTATTCCCTCCACCCAAGCTGCATGGAGTGACTCCATCCCCAAAGACTCTGTCCAGTACCCAGTGGAGACTCAAGGTGATGAGTTACCAAAAGTTACCAAAGAAATATCCATCACATTATCATCCCCACAACCTGAGGAACTGGTTGTAACACCACATCCAAAGGGATCTTCTTCTATAGGGACCCCAGAGATTGAGAGGACAGAGCCAGCAGTGACACCAGAAGAGGAAGCAATGTCACCACCTGCACCAGAGCCAGAAGGAGCCAAACTGTCACTTAGTGCAGACCTTCCAAAGAATATCTCAACATGTACTGCCATGGAGGAGACCGCTCCTGAACAGAGTAGTGCAATACAGAGCCAGGATACAGGTGTGTATTCAAGTCCCCTGGGTAATATACATTCATAGTGTCCCCTTATCACTTCATTACTGGTAATCTGTTATACCGTAACATGAATAATCATTGCAAATTGCAAAGAAAGACATACAAGGGTTGTTATAACAACATTAAAGCCCAACTCCGGGTAAAAATCAAAATTTCACAATGTATTGTCAGTGAAATACCTTTCTCTGGTGTGCTTTCCTTCTACCCATATTCCTAACACTTACCACTTTATTCTGTTTCCTGCCAGTTTCATCCTTTTTTCCTGCCTCGGTCACCAGACACATTGGTGCACTAGTTATTTTGTAAGGGACCGGTCCCTTCACCATCACCCCTGTGTTGTCTTCTTCACTATAAAGCTGACACAGTCAAGAAGGCAGTGATCCTGGAGTTAAGCTTTAAAGTAGATGACAACTACTCAATGCTTTTTTTTTTAATATTTGTGCACATTTCTTCAATTTCCACTTGAAATTAGGGTGTCTGAGCAGCACTGGTCTTTTCTAAAGGGAAATCTTTTGTTTTCTGGGTACCCTTACTGTCACCTGCATTGACCCAAAGCAGCAAAACACCAGTGACCACACATGCAGCTGTGAACGAGCCCTTATCGTCCTAGTGTTTCAATATGTTTATTGTGGAACTTATTGCAAAACGTATTTCTCTATGTGCCCTGTACAACACCACAGTGGAGCAGAGAGGTGTAGAAAATGCAAAAATAAAGTAAAAATTAAAAGGGAACTATGAGGTGAGTGTAGTTCTCTAAAGGGTCACGGGAGGACATATACTAGCGTCCTCCCGTGACCCAAAGCTCAGTATATCACAAGCTACAACTCACGATATACTAAGACCACCGCAGCCGGGTCTGATCCCGACCATGCTGTCGAGATCCACCCAGCTGCGTGAATGACAGCTGTCTCTGCCTATCTTATCTAGAAGTATGTGTTTGTAGATTGTCATTACTAAACCTTTCTAAAGGTGCCTTTGTTGTTATTGTAAAGATATGGATAAAGGTCCTCTTTAAGGGCTCATTCACACCACATCCAGATCATCTCCAGACCAGACCAGATTTCCAGACCCAAAATGTATCCTAATGTATCCCTATGCTGTTCCTAGCCTCTGTTCACACCAGCACAGTCCGATCCAGACCAGACCAGAAAAATACTGCATGTCTCATTTTGTCTGGTCTGGGATGTACTGGAACTGCGGGCAGGTTCAGACCATTTTCCAGACCAGATCTGGTCCGGAAAATGGTCTGAACCTGCCCTGAAGGATTCATATTTTGAGAACATACCAAATTCATCAGTGATTGAAGTTACTTTGAAAAATATATTCAAAGCAGCTCTGAACTATGTATGTGAAGTCACCTCAAATGGTGTAATTACTAATTCTCCTGTCTTGTAGATCCTACCGATGTTACTCACACAGACGATATGAAGGAAGAGGCAGCGAGTGAGAACAAATCATTGAACTGCAGCCAGGATGAGACAAAATGTCAGGCTTCTAGTAACTTTGTATCCAGGTCCAGTACAGTTTTTGTGGGGGAGAACAAGACCAGGAATGCAGAAAGTAAAAAGAAGACTACTGAGAGAGGAGAGAGCAAACTAAGGGGAAGCAAAGCAAATGTAGATGTTGGCTCAGCACAGACGACAGCTCCAAGTAAGGCAGTGAAGCGGAGGTGCTCCCCTGGTTCAGTAACAAACAGTGATATCCCCGCTAAGATCTCCAGACTAGAAAGAGAAGATGTTTCTAAAGATGTAAAGGAGGAGACCGTTAGCAAGAGGACGAAACTAAAGGCAACACCAGAACGCAAGTTCCATTGTCCAGACTGCAATAAAAGCTTCAGCCAGATAGGCCATCTACGACGGCACAGTTTTATCCACAGCGGCCACAAACCATTCCTGTGCACAGAGTGTGGCAAAGCCTACTGCTCGGAGGAGAGCTTCAAAGCTCACCTTCTAAGCCACCAGGGCGTCCGTCCTTTTAAATGCTCACTCTGTGATAAAGCATACGGCACACAACGTGACCTGAAAGAGCATGCTGTGCTGCACACAGGTCAAAGGCCCTACCGCTGTGAGGACTGCGGGAAAAGCTTTGCCCGGCGACCCACTTTACGCATCCACCGTAAGAATTACTGCACACCAAGGACTGACGAGACAAAAACTCCTCTCAGTTGCACTGTGTGCAACAAGCAGCTCGCCAACAGCTGCTCGCTGCGCAACCACATGCTCGTACACACAGGGGAAAAACCTTACACGTGTCCAGACTGTGGCAGTTCTTTCCGTCACAAGGGTAATTTACGGATACACCAGCGCCTACATACTGGCGAAAAGCCCTACAAGTGCCAGTTCTGCGGCGATTCGTTTCCCCAGCAGCCCGAACTGAAGCGGCACTTAATCCTGCACACAGGGGAAATGCATTTGTGTACCGTCTGTGGCAAGGCGTTAAAAGACCCCCATACTCTGCGCGCCCACGAGCGCCTTCATACAGGCGACCGCCCATTCGTGTGTCAGTATTGTGGAAAGTCCTACCCCATGGCCACCAAGCTCCGGCGCCACCTAAAATCCCACCTGGAGGAAAAACCATTCCGCTGCCACTTATGTGGCATGGGCTATAATCTGCAGCACAGTTTGAAGCGCCATTTGCGCGGCCACAGACATGACGAACTGAAAGCGGAGGATGGCACTGCTGAGTCGGCGGTAGGCAGCGAGACGGAGCACACGCTAGTTTTGCTTCAGTTAGTTGAGCCAGAAGACGTTGCCGAGAGCTCAAACAGGATACTCATTACAGACTTCACAGGGAGCTCTGAAGCAGGTCATTCCCACAATCCCCCAACATTGCTTCTTCCATTGAACTCTGAGACATTAGAAGTCTCTACAGACCCCAATCACAGTGGTGGAATCCTGCACAGGGACCAGTGCCCTGGCATTATACTGGTTCCCCAGGCAGTGGGATTCAGCACTGTGGTGGAGGAGATAGAGGTTGAATTATGAATGTCGTGTATGGAACTTGTCTGTATAAAAAAAAAATGTCATCTCTGTTTACCTGGTGCAAAGGTTTTTGTGTATTACCAGTTTTAAGTTAAAAGCAAACCCTTCAGGCACTGCTGCTAGGTCGAAAACTAACTGTAGGCACTCCAAGGTGCATGTAAGTACTAATCATCAAACTTCTAATCCTCTATTGGGACTGAAGTGCACCCCCTCTACCTAACATAGCTGAGGCCTTAGCTTCTCTGACTTGATCATAGCTCAGAGTTTGATACCTCTGCTATAATGTTTGCCAAGGATTTCAGTAAGGTGGTGCACCTGCACTTATACTATGTTGTTAGTAGGTATTCACCAATACCGGTTCTTCGGTATCAAGTACGAGTACCAATACTTTGCTTTAGGTATTTGCCGATACCGGTGCTTACGCTGGCATGGAAGCAATCAGGAAGCTGGGCGGTGGGTAATGATATGTCGTCCAGCTTCCTGATTGCCCGGGAAGCCAGCTCCATGTTGTTTGGCCGGGAACCCGGCTTCTCCGCCAATCCGCTTTGGGCCGGCTTACCCACCAATCAGGAAGTCGGGAATGGCCCGGCTTCCTGATTGCACAGGAAGCTGGCTCCATGTTCCCCTATAGCACTGCCGGTTAAAGGAAATCTTTCTCTGACCGGAAGTTCCGTTATCAGCGAAGGTTCCGGAGCATTTGGGCGAGTTCGAGTACTCGGTATCTGTATCGGCGAATCCCTAGTTGTTAGTTTATAGACATTATGGGGTTGATTTACTAAAGGCAAATAGGCTGTTCACTTTGCAAGAGGATTTTCCCTTATCTTAGTGAATGAGGTGAAGGTCTGCTGTCTTTCAATATCCAATCATGTGCAACCAACAGAGAGGCAGGGGGTGCAGCGAAGGTGAGTATCAGCGTGTTTGTGAGGGGTAGTGAGCTTTGAATAGGTAAAGTGACAGATTACTTTAAGGCCTCAAAACTGATCGTTTTTTTTTTTCTCTTTCAAAGTTTTTATTAATTTTTTAGTTTCTTATGTTTACCAATTTTGTTACAATAAATGCATGTGCCACGCAACATTCCATCCGGAGTATATCCCTCTTTATCTCTTTGAGCAGCCCCATAATACCCTTGGTAACAATTTAAACATGTACTTTGTTAACCATCTACTAAAAGGGCAGATACGCCTTATCCTTACTTCCCAGGAATAGTGGGTCACCTTTAAGTCATTATGTCAGCACGTGACATTTCCCCCTGGTGAATTTAAACACACTTTCCCCCAAGGGGAAAGGGGCAAAACATTAACCTACATAAATTGATAAAACAAACAAAAACAAAAGCACGCATTAAAAATAATTAAAAAAAAGAAATTTTAAAGAATTGCAGACTCCCAAGCTCCGGACCATCAAAACCCTTGTTTAGCCGGAGCAAAATGATCATGCTCAATGCGGGCTCAAGATTGCCAGGTGACTCAGCCAGGGTTCCCATAGCGCTTGGAATTGAGCATACCTATCTTGCAGAATACTAGATAATTTCTCATGGATCATTATCCAATTTATTTTAGACAGTACCATAGAGAATGGAACTGTTTCGGATTTCCAGGCCCGAGCGATTGAGATCTTAACTGCTAGGAAACAGAAGGATACAAATTTGCCCTGCGTTTTCGGAATACCCGGGATCGGTCTATTTAATAATAGGTACTGCGGGTCTCTCGGAACATAGACCCCCAAGGATCCGATAAAGCAGGGCAAAAAGCTTGTTCCATAAGGAAGGCAATTTTGGACAATGCCACCATACATGAAGCATAGAGCCCTGTTGAGTACATCCTCTAAGGGCTTGTTCACACGACGTCCGGATTCTGTGCTGACCAGATCCATGCGCTCCTGCACTAAAAATGCATCCCAATGTATCCCTGTGTGTTTTATGGGCTACAGTTCTCACGTGCGCAGTCCGTCCAGGTTACGACAGAAAAAATACTGCATGCCACATTTTGTCCAGTCAGGAAACGCATGAACGCATCACAAACGCGTAAAAAACGGACCGCACTGCAGCTTAGCAAAAAAAAGTATTCTTTCTACACTTTTCATGATGTCATCATCATTGGACTTCCTGGTTGTGGTGGAGCAGTAGAGGGAAAACCAGTAGGTATTAACAACATGGTCCTGGACATAGAAAGGTTTGTCGGATTGATGGAGCGAGCGCTAATACTATACGACCCTCGTCATTCACAGTTCAAAAATGTGCATTAAAAAAATCAAAACCGGAGAGAAATAGCATCAGAGCTGTATGCTGAATTCACATTGTACAATAGTGTCCAGAAGAATGAATGTGGTGAGTGATTACACATATCTTGTATGTTGACTAACTGTATGCAGACCATGTTAAGCACTGCATGCTGGCCATGTTAAGCACTGCATGCTGGCCATGTTAAGCACTGCATGCTTGTCATGTTAAGCACTGCATGCTGTTCATGTTAAGCACTGCATGCTGTTCATGTTAAGCACTGCATGCTGTTCATGTTAAGCACTGCATGCTGGTCATGTTATCCACTGTATGCTGGCCATGTAATCCAAATAAAGTTTGTCATATTTGGGGGGTTATATGCTGCCGGGAGATTTCTCTTTCTTTGTAATATATGGTGCTCTTTTGTCCCCTCTGTCCATATATGACATACACAAAGGGAAGTGGTTGTTCCGAGAGGGCGGAAGTGACCTCAGAGGAAGAATCTGCATACTGACAGCTCCACAGCTTAAAAAAAATGAACTGTCAGCATCTGGTCCGCGTCAAAAACGCACTGCATGCAGAGCACCGCGTCTGCAGATCAGGACCGGAAAATCGTGTGAACAAGCCCTAAAGAACAAGGAACTAGTCCCTAGGAACATAGATGCCAACCTAGCTGGTACTAAATACCAACGAGAAAAAACTTTATAGTTAGCTTCAAGTAAGGATACATTGAGCAAGCCCAACGTTAACTGAGTGGTACATTGTTGCCACTCGTCCACAGAAAGTGATGTGCCTAATTCGCTTTCCCATGCGACCATATACGCTAATTTAGTGAAGGGACTCAGCTGCATGGAATATATAAGGGAGATTCCCCCCCCCCGCCCGCCTTGGCCAAGCTCTCCCAAACTCCATTGTTCATAAGGTGTTAGCAGAGAGAGTGCAACCCCAACTGCTGCCAGTATAAAAAGTGCTGTATTTGTCTAAATCTAAACAATTCCGAATTAGGCATCTGAAGGTTATTTTGACCGTAAGAGAGGGTAAGTGGTTTACAAAGCTTAATAAAGTCTCCAATTCTATATAAGCCTTTATCAAGCCACCATTGGAAGGCTTTGGTCTGTAGGCCCGGTGGAAAATTTACATTGCCGAACAAGGGTGCCAAGGGAGTATGAGGAGAAACCATCCCCTCCTTACCTCGTAGCCAATCCCACAGGGCCATGGAGTGTGACAAAGTAGGAGCCATGATTAGGGGTCTGTGTCTTGCTATCATCCAAATCAAGAGCTCAATAGAAGAGCCCTTGAAGGAGCTTGATTCTATTCTGGCCCAGTCAGGAATTGCTACCGCACGGTAGGCCGCAGAGAGTTGTGCCAGCTGTGATGCCCGATAATAATAAAGGAGGTTAGGGACCCCAAGACCCCCTTGTTGTCTAGATTTGAGAAGAATCGCCTGAGAAATTCTAGAGCGTTTATCACCCCAAATAAATTTGATAATGGACGTTTGGAATTTGAGAAATTCAACCCGTTGGATAGGAATTGGCAAGGTCCTAAAATAATACAGAATTTTGGGGAACAAAGTCATTTTAACTGAATGCGTTCGACCCATCCAGGATAGATTATAAGAGGACCATCTGGTCATATCTTCCCCAAGAAGGTTGTATAGCGGAGGATAGTTTACATGGTACAGTCGGGAATAAGAAGATGTCATTTTAAACCCCAGATACTGGATAAAGTCAGTTCTCCACTCAAAAGGGAAGGAACTTCTAAGCCCCGACCACTGCTCAGGAGAAAGATTAATATTAAGTGCAACAGACTTAGAAGCATTAGCTCGGAGTCCTGATATCTGTGCGAATCGCTCCAAAAGGGCCATAAGTGAAGGTGTTTTAGGAATTATTATCAGGTATAATGTAAGGCCGTTTTAATACAATTCGTCGATTTTAATCGACTTAATCGAATAATTGTTGCAGCTCTACAAGTAGTGCTTAGCAGAATTTTTGCACGCTAGTGCCATTCTACTTTAAGGACTGAGGAAATACTGAATGCAGGACGTCATGGGCCCTGCCCCTGAAGGACAAACTCACCGCCCTGCACTCTCAGTGTAATGATGCAGAAAGTGGTGTTGATGTCACTGCACTGCCGCTCTGCATTATTAAAGATCACCCACCACTGGAAAAGATTAAAAGAAGACGCATTACCTGACTGGCCTGAAGGCTTCTGGATGGGCGATACAAATCTAAGGCCCCATTCACATGGGGATTTTATCTGCGTCCGGGGATTCCTGTATCAAGAACAGGAATGTCCAAGGTGGCAAGGAGTGTCCGTTCAGATGAGCTCCCTTTACCTATTTAAGTTAATTACACTGCATCTGTCAGTGATAGTGCGCATACGGTTACGCTACAGCTCGCGGTATACTGAGCCTAGGGTGACGGGAGGACGCTAGCTTGTGTCCTCCCGTTACTCTAAGGAGAACTATGGGGAAAAGCCTTAACCCCATAGTTCTTTAAAACACCCAGAAGTGAGGATAACTGCAGCGCCTGAGGAGCATTGAAGCGCCGGAGCTGGAAGACATGGGCTGCCTGAAAGGTGAGTAACCATGTTCTTCTTTTACAGGCTGTTCTTAGTTTTCAAGTGACCTTGTGCTGACTTTAAATCACTCTATTGTGCTCCTAACTGGTATTTACACATCCAATACCCCAGGAGTATTTGCAGTATTACACCAGTTTCCTGTAAAACACGGAGCAGTGAAAATCTGCTTGTGACATCTGTATGGATTGTTGAATTCTCTCCCACCACAAATCAAATCCATTCCATGAAA